GAAGCGCGCCTTTTCGACCGGTTTCGGGGTGACTTATTTATAAGGGAAGGGATTTGAGGAGGATCTCACGAGGTTCCAGATGTGGTCCCCAGATATAGTCGGACATCATGTGTCCTCGTCGAAGATCGGGCGTCTTCGTTGCCAACCGTACACCATCGTCCTTCTAACCTTGTTTTTCCATCGAAAGTTGTCAAACAGTAATGAGATGCCGTGCTCTATCTCGAACGCAGTATATCATTGTCTGATGAACGTGGTGTTCATTCAGAAATATGTTGAAGTCAGATCGGAACATCGTGTGCATCATCGACGCCCGTGTTTCATATTCGACAGTCGCAGATCATTGTCCTTCGAACGTCGCGCGTTCTCAGGGGATGGCAAACCGTTCTCAGATTTCGTGTGAGCAGCATGTAGCATCGTTTTTCGAGTATCGGCTGCCGTCCGAACTCTGTCAACAAGTACTCCGGATTCCATCAACAGAATGTCGGGGGGATCACAATGGGGGTGGTTCTGCCTGGAGCAGTGTTGAACGGTTCCAGGGGTCTGGGCAAAAGGCCGCTCGTTCGTGGCTGGCCTGGAGGTGGGGTTTAAAATCACCACCCACCAAACCATCCCAACCCAACCCGAAGGCCTCAATTTGTACTCCACTGCCAATGGGGGGGCGTCGGGGAACGTCGGAAAACACATGTGGAACCCATCAACACGACATTTGGGGGCCTTCGGGTCAGGTTGGGGTTGTCTGGTAGGTAGTGATAAGTCTGTTCGTCTGGGCGGGTTGTGAGCCCCCCTCTTGCTTGCGAGCCCTGGAGTAGTCGGAGCCGTCGTGCGTCTTCCTCGAAGATCGCAGGGCACCGTTGAGCACCGTCGCCGTCGACAACAGCGGCCCCCGCCGCCGGGAGAGGCCGCGGGCCGGCAGCGCGACGAGCAGCTGGACAAGCTGCTCGGGCGCTCCCCCCCCCGAAGACCACGACGACGGCGACGACGACGACGACGACGGCGGCGGCGGCGGCGTGTCCAGGCCTGTGTCGGGGTCCGTGCCAGACCCGGGCCAGGTGCGGGCGCGGGCCAGGTCGGGGCCGGATCCGGCCAGGTTTGGGTCCGGGACCAGACCGGGGCACCAGACTTCCATTACACAGTAGAGGACAAGGTGTTTGGGGAGTTCTTCTCCTGGGCCAGGTCTGGACCGTGACCAGGCCCGGCAAGGAGGATTGGGCTTGGGCCGTGGCCGGGCCGGGTCCGGCCGGTTCCAGGTCTGGGGCCGGGTCTGGGCCTGGGCCGTTTTTGGGCCTGGGTCCGGGTTCCCGGGCGGGGTGCGGGCCTGGGCCAGGTCCGGACAGGGCTGCAGTCCATGCTGGGGTGCCTGGGCTGGGGGGGCCAGGGCCAGAGACCAATCGCAATCAAATAGTAAAGGGACATGTGTTCGGGGCGTCTTTTTCAGGGCCCCGGCCTGGAGACCGGGGCTTGAGCCCAAAGGCAGTGAAGTAATAGTGAAACATGTGTTTGGGGAGTTGCTTCCGTGGCCCATGGGCCAGGAGGCCGGGGCTGGAGCCGAAAGGCATTCAGATAGTTAAAACACCTGAGTTTAGGGAGTGGTTTTCCGAGGCATGGCTTGGGCCAAAGCCTGGTCCGGGGCTGGAGTCGGGGAGCAGAAGTGTTGCGTGTCGCTGCTCGCCGCTCTCTCTTTCTCTCTCTCCCTCTTCCTCTTTCTTTCTCTCCCTCTTTCTCTTTCACTCTCCCTCGCTTCCTTTTTTGTAAATTTCTCTCTCTCTCTCTCGCCCTCTCTCTCTCGCTCGCCACTTCTCTTGGTAACTGCCAGGGAAGGGCCGCGGTCATCAGCTGAAGCACGCAGTGGATTGCGCCGAAACCTCCGTTATTTTTTCACCCGTGCTGGCCATGATGTCCTGCCGATATGTTCCGAATACAGCGGCAACGCAATGCAAGTGCTCATATTCATAATACCAGTAGAGAATATGAACACTAAGAATAATACTGCGATTGTTATACTACAATTTTTCATGACCAAACATACAGATAACACTGGTACCAATCACAATGTTAGTAGTAATGAGGAGGAGTTTACGACCCACACTTTTAATCATATGCATAAGATTACTACTACCATCAATCTGTAATACTAATCGTAGGACTATTTCCATTCGTAAAACTACCACTGACAAAACATGGTAGTAGCCTTCGAAGTATATCCGAAGGTTTAGTAGTAGAAATATTCGTAGTAGTAGTCGTAATCGTAGTCGTAGTAGTAGTCGCAGTAGTAGTAGTACTGGTCGTAGTAGTGGTAGTAGTAGTTGTGAACGTTGATGTAGTCGCCGTAGTAGTAGTAGTAGTAGTAGTAGTAGTAGTAGTAGTAGTAGTAGTTGTAGTAGTAGTAGTAGTAGTAGTAGTAGTAGTAGTAGTAGCGTTAGCAGCAGTAGTAGTGTAGTCGTAGTAGTAGTAGTAGAAGTAGTAGTAGTAGTAGTAGTAGTAGTAGTAGTCGTAGTAGTAGTAGTAGTAGTAGTAGTAGTAGTAGTAGTGGTGGTAGTCGTCGCATTATTAATACTACTCGTAGTCGTAGCCGTGTAGTAGTAGTAGTAGTAGTAGTCGTAGTCGTAGTCGTAGTAGTAATAGTAGTAGTAATAGTAGTAGTTCTCCTAGTACTAGTAGTAGTAGTAGTAGTAGTAGTAGTAGTTCTAGAAGTTGCAGTAGTAGTACTAGTACTAGAAGTAGTAGTAGTAGTAGTAGTAGTAGTAGTAGTAGTAGTAGTAGTAGTAGTAGTAGTAGTAGTAGTAGTAGTAGTAGTACTAGTAGTAGTAGTAGTAGTAGTAGTAGTAGTCGTCGTCGTCGTCGTCGTCGTCGTCTTTTTTATTCATACTACTCGTAGTAGCTCCCGTAGTAGTAGTAGTAGTAGTAGTAGTAGTAGTAGTAGTTCTAGTAGTAGTAGTGGTAATAGTAGTGGTAGTAGTAGTAGTAGTATAGTAGTAGTCGTAGTAGTAGTAGTAGTAGTAGTAGTAGTAGTAGTAGTAGTAGTCGTCGTAGTAGTCGTAGCCGTAGTAGTAGTAGTAGTAGTAGTAGTAGTAGTAGTAGTCGTAGTCGTAGTAGTAATAGTAGTAGTAATAGTAGTAGTTCTCCTAGTACTAGTAGTAGTAGTAGTAGTAGTAGTAGTAGTTCTAGAAGTTGCAGTAGTAGTACTAGTACTAGAAGTAGTAGTAGTAGTAGTAGTAGTAGTAGTAGTCGTAGTAGTCGTAGTAGTAGTAGTAATAGTAGTATTCGTCGTAGTAGTAGTAGTAGTAGTAGTAGTAGTAGTAGTAGTAGTGGTAATACTAGTAGTAGTAGTAGTAGTAGTAGTAGTAGTCGTCGTCGTCGTCGTCGTCGTCGTCGTCGTCGTCTTTTTATTAATACTACTCGTAGTAGTTCCCGTAGAAGTAGTTGTAGTAGTAGTAGTAGTAGTAGTAGTAGTAGTAGTAGTAGTAGTAGTAGTAGTAGTAGTAGTGGTAATAGTAGTGGTAGTAGTAGTAGTAGTAGTAGTAGTAGTAGTAGTAGTAGCTGTTGTCGTAGTAGTCGTAGTAGTCGTAGTAGTCGTAGTAGTAGTTCACTCTTAAAGGCAAATATTAAGGTTACGAATGCTAGTTCTATTGCGAGTAATGAGCGTAATACTATTAATCATACGATGTACAAGAATCATCTGACCAGCACATATTATAGTACGAATACTGATCATACTACTCATCGTGTTACTATCACATAAGAATAATGCGAATTCTAATGCGACTGCTTATGCTGATAATACTACTAATAGTCGTATTTAAACTTAAATGAAACTAGAAATTACACTACTAAGAATACTACAACATACTAGCATCACTAATAACATTACTTCGAGTAGTAATATCAATGAATATACTTCTACGGTCGATACTGGTACTACAAGTAATACTGCGATTACTAGTGATACACCGTTAAAAATTCGGACGAGGAGGAGGAGGAGGAGGAGGAGGAGGAGAAGGAAGAGGAGACAGAGCAGTAGGTAGAGGAGCAGCAGCAGCAGGAGGGGAAGTGTGGAGGGGTGGACGAGGAGGTGGATGAGCAGTGGCAACCGGGGGCGGGAGGCGAGGGTTGGAGGGGGACTGGCGACGACCCGCGGTGGCCCTCGGCGGCGTGGGGCCGGCGCCGCAGCCGGTTGGACGGTTCCATGCGGATGCTGGCCGCGGTGCAGGGCATGTGCGGCCAGCAGCGGAGGTCCCGCCCGCCCGCGGGCGTTGGCTCTCGCGCTCTCGCTCGCCGTCGGTCGCCGTCGCTTTCCCTGCTCCTCCCCCTCCTCGTCCTCGTCCTCATCCCCCGCCTCCACTCTCCCCCTCCTCTTCTTTCTCCTCTGCTTCTATTTCCCAGTGCGGCCGAAGTCTGTGACCCGCGGCAGCGGCACCAAGTCCGCCCCCCTCGCACGAGGATGACCAACTCTCGTGATGAGCATCAAGCCTCCCGCTTCGCGAGCAGAGATCCGAGATGACGTAGCCCGAGTCGCCCCAACTGCAGCCGAGGAGCCAAGTCCCGTCAGCCTCGATCTCGTCTTTTCCACCTTCCATATCACTTCCATAAATCACTGGCCAGCAGGGTGCCGTCCTCGAAGGCCTGGGCGACCAAGCACACATAGCCGTCGCGCATGCAGATTTAAGTCGGGCGTGTCCCCCTGCCGGAGGAATACTCAAGAGCAGCAAGAAACATAGTCAGATGACGATTTCGTGTTCCTTTGACTATATTTGACGATGCTTTGGGCCATGTCTTATTTCTCTTCCTGGGCCCGCCTGTTGGAGGACATGCCCGACCTGAGCGTAACAGACGAAGAGCGGCACGGGACTCACCAGGCAGACCATTGCCGGGACGAGGAGCAGCACGACCCTCGCGACGCCCCGCCCAGTGCTCCACGAGTGACAGCACGCCGAGCCTGGGCAAGGAGCTCCCGCCGCGCAGCACTGCCGCGAGCGACGCCCCGAGGCGCGCCCACCTGCTCACCCTCGGCGCCGTCCTTTGGCTTGGCATCGCTTGGACGTGTGGGCGAGAACCATCGAGGACCATCCTGGACCATCGAGCAAAAAAAAACACGCACGAAACCAAAACATGCGTGGGAAATGGACGTCCGAGCGACGGCAAGTTGGTGGAGGGGGACGGGGGCACCCCGGCAGAGGGGGGATGCCTGGCACCGCCGCCTGCAGCATCGGGAGTTGGTGCTCGGACAGCCAGCGGCTCCCGCAGGTCGGCCACCAGACCACCCCAACCCAAGCCGAAGGCTTCCATTTGCCCTCCATTTCCAGTTGGGGGGGGGTCGGGGAACACGGAGAAAACGCATATGGAACCCCTAGCCCCCCCAATCCGAAATTCGGGTCTTTCGGGTCAGGTCGGTGTGGTCTGGAAGGTCGTTGATCCTCCTGGTGCGCCGCGGGGCAATCGCGGGGAAGTAAGAGTCGGCGCTGGTAGGGGGCCACATGCGAACCCTACCCCTACCCCCCGCGATTTCTGAGGGGGAGGGTCGGGTTCATTCGCTCGGGAGCTCCCGAACGAAGTGAACCCCACCCTCGCCCTCAGAAGTCGTGGGGGGTAGGGGTAGGGTTCGCATGTGGCCCCCTAGCTGGAGAACACCTTGGAGCCGCAGGTGCACCGAAGCGGCGCTGGAGAACACCACGGCGCTGCAGGTGCGCCGGAGCGCGTCGCGTTGGCCAGCGCGGGCGGCGGAGGCGGGAAGAGAGAAGCGTGCAGCGGCGTCTCCTCGGCGGGCCTCTCCGAGTCCAGATAGGGGCGGAGCTCTGGGGGATCAGGCGCAGCTTGACCATCGCGAAGAGAAGGTGTGCTGGACCTTAGTGGGCCCTGGAAACGACAGGGCTGTTTTTTACCGGTTCCGTTTTGCCGTTGTTTTGCCGGTTCCGACGCCGTTTTTTTACCGGTTCCGTCGCCGTTTTTTGACTGGTTCCGGCTCCGGTTCCAATCCTGGAGCCGTTTCTTTGCTGTTTCGGGTCGCCGTTTTTTTTGCCGTTTCCATTTTCAAGGGATTTTTGTGGAAACGGTGAAAAAACGGCCCTGCTGGGCCCACAAAGTGCTGGACAATTGGGTCCGATTCAGTTCGGCCTGGCTCGCAGCAGCCCAGACACCAAGGGTACCGAAGCTAAGCTGTGGGCAGTAGCATGCCTCCTGACGATTGCCAGCTTCTCGATCGGGAGCTGCTCCAGCTAGGCCCAGAGAACTGGGGCAACGAGCGCCAGGCGGCCACAGAGCTCAGGATTACCCGGCGCCTCCAGAGAGCCCGTGAGCTGCGCCTTGGTGCCCGCAAGTTCCTTGATGGGCTCATCGAGCTGGGTGGTGAGTTCCGAGATTGCCCCGTCTGCAGCAGCCTGTGCACGACGAGCCGAAGGGGTGCGATCAGCCCGCGTCTTTGCCATTCCGCCCGCCATTTCTCAAGTTCCACCGCAGAAGAATCTCCAGCCGCACGAGCGCAGAAAAGACATGGTGTAGCTCGCTTCAGCAGTATGGGTTTCGCCCGCCGGTGGGCGGATCGAGCCACAATGGCTCGAGCCACAATTGTTACGGAGCCTCCTCCTCCTCGTCGTCCTCCTCCTCCTCCTCGTCCTCCTCCTCCTCCTCCTCGTCCTCCTCCTCCTCGTCCTCCTCCTCCTTCTTCCTCCTCGTCCTCCTCCTCCTCCTCCTCCTCTTCCTCTCGTGGGATGGCGGCGGGGGCAGGCGGTGCAGGGCCGGGGGATTCTGCGGAAGCAGGCAGGGCTTTCGCCCTGGGCCTGGAGGTCTCCATTTCTTTGGGGCAGCTGCTCCTCCAGAGCTTCTGGGGCAAGCTCGAGAGTGGAGGCCACGACCTTCCTCTGGGAGGCCCACAGGGCTCGACCGACCGCCGCCTCCTCCTCCTCCTCCTCCGCCTCCCTCCCTCCCTCCCTCACTCCCTGATCATGCTGTCACCGGATCATCTCAGGGCTTCAGCAGGTTCGACTTTTCTTATGTCCTCTTCTTCCTCTCCTCATGAAGTCATTTCCAACCGTTGGAGGAGGAGGAGGAGGAGAAGGAAGGAGGAGGAAGACAACGATGGCGACAGAGATGAGGAAGAGGAGAAGGATGGATGAGGAGAATAACGAGGGCTGAAGATGATGCTGATGACGATGCTGATGATGATGATGATGCTGCTGCTGCTGATGACGAGAGATTGATGACGCTGACGGTAACCACGATGATCTATTGTACAGATGAGGGTGATCATGCTGCTGATGATGATGGTGCAGGTGTTTGCGATGATGATGTTGTTGTTGATGATGATGATGACGATGATGATGACGATGATGATGTTGATGATGATGATTGTGATGATGGTGACCATGCTGCTGACGATACTGATGATGCTGATGTTGATGATGATGCTGATGACGATGCTGACACTGATGATGGTGACGACGATGATGCTGATGCTGATGATGCAGATGTTGATGATGATGCTGATGCTGATGATGTAATGATGGTGGTGGTGGTAGTGCTGATGATGATGCAATATTAACCTATGATGATTACCATTCTCACGATGATGACGATGCTGACGATGATGACGACGGAGACGACAACTCGATGATATGCTGATGATGATGACGACGAAGACCACGACGATGACAGTGTTGACGACGATGGTTCTGGTGATGCCGGCGCTTACGATCATGATGGTGTTGATGTTGATGATGCAGATGATTACTTTGATGATGATGAGGATGATATTGAAGATGATGATATTGATGCTGTTGCTGATGATGCTGGTGATGATGATGTTGCTGTTGTTTTTTGTTGATGATGCTGTTGTTGATGAGTTTCCATTTCTTAAACAGCTATTGTTGATCACCCTTCTTGTAAGCTTTCTGTTGAACTAAATTGCCCCCGTCGGGGGTACCACTCTGTTTTTTATCAGTGAAAGCTTGACATCACCAAGCTGCGATGTTGGGCCCCCGCCTACACCAGCAACAGCAACAACAACAACGACTCCCGCCTGACATTTCATTACATGTTGTTCCAACATCGCGCTCTCCCGCGGGATTTCCCCACAGGTTATGCAGGGACCGCGCTCTCTCGCAGGACTTCTCGCAAACTATTCAGGCCCCGCGCCCTCGACGCTCAGGAATCACGCTCTCGCTTTGGCTTATCTCACGATTTACATGGGAATCGCGCAATCGCTCGAGCTTTTCCTCGCGATTCATGCAGTACTCACGCTTCAGCAACGCGCCTGCTCGACCTGGTCGCTTGGGCCAGCCTTCCCGAACCGCCCGTTAGGGTCCACTCGACCGTCGGGCCCCTCAGGTTCTGGCACGTGTTTTCTGCTCCTAGCCCCCCTCTTGTTAATCCCGTGCTCCATCCTTCTTCCTCCCCCTTCCATCCGTGCTCTATGCCCCTGTTCCAGTGGCTGCACCAGTTACACGCGGCAGGTATGGAAGATATGCCCCCAGGGGGGTACGATCGAATACGAAGAGGGCGGGTACCGAGGGTTTGGGATACGTGTTGAAGAGCACGCGGGCAGATAAGAGCAAACCGTCCCAATGTGATTGTTGTTGTTCTTGTCGTCGTCGTGGTTGTTGTCGTCGTTGTTGTTGGTGTTGTCGTTGTTGTAGTTGTTGCAGTGTTTGTTGTGGTTGTTGTGGTTGTGGTTGTGACTGTTGTTGTGTTTGTCGTCGTTATTGTTGTTGTTGTTGTTGTTGTTGTTGTTGTTGTTGTTGTTGTTGTTGTTGCTGTTGTTGTTGTTGTTGGTGTTTTTGTTGGTGTTGTTGGTGTTGCTGTTGCTGTTGCTGGTGTTGTTGTAGTTGTTGTTCCTCTCCTTCTTGTTGTGGTTGTTGTTGTCGTTGTTGAACTCCTACTTTGAAGGATACTTATTGTTGATCCCACCTCCGGTTACAAATCAGTTTTTCACTTGAAGTGCCCTTCGGACTCGCACCTAGTCTTTCATCAGGACAAGTCGTTCTGCTCAAACTGCGCCCCTGGACCTGGAGTTACAACAACAACGGCTCCTGCCTGATACTTCCTCACAATCCATGCCCAAATCGCGCTCTCGCGCGCGACTTCCTTGCAATTTGTGCAGAAATGGCGCTTTCGCGTAGACTACCTCGCAATTAATTCAGACACCGCGCCCTCGACATTCAGGAGTCACGCTCTCGCTTTGGCTTATCTCACGGTTTACTTGGGAATCGCGCTATCGCTCGAGACTTTCTCGCGATTCATGCAGGACGCACGCTTCAGCAACCCGCCTGCTCGACCTGGTCGCATGGGCCCGTCTTCCCGACCCACCTGTTAGGGTCTACCCGCCCGATCTGCCCGGCTGGTTCTGCCACGTGTTTTCTATTCCTAGTTCCCCTTCTGCTACTCTCACTCTCTCGTGCTCCATCTTCCTACCTTATCCTTGTCCCCTTCTTCCATCAGTCCTCTCCTTCTCCTGCCGTAGTGTCTGCATGAAATCCACATTGAAGGTGCGAGTGCATACCCGAAGGGGATACGATCGAAGACGAAGAGGGTTGGTGTTGAGGGTTTGGGATCTACGTGTTGAATGGCACGCGCGCAGATAAGAGCAAGCAGTCTTAAACTGATGGTTGTTGTTGTTGGTGTTTGTGGTGGTGGTGCTGCTGCTGGTGATCATGATGAGGTCGACCGGGAGGCTGGAGGTTGAGGAGTGAGATGCGGCAGAGAACAAGGATGGAGCCTTTGAGTCTGAGGAGGGTGATGAGAAGTATGAGCAGGAAGAAATGGAGGAGGAGGAGGGGGAGGAGGAGGAAGAGGAGAAGGATATCGAGGATGAGGAGGAGGAGGAAGAGGAGGAATCAGGAGACTCAGGAGGAGGAGGAGGAAGAGGAGGAGGAGGAGGAGGAGGAGGCATGAGACGGTCGTGGAGGGGGCTGACGCCACGGGCTTATCCGCTGGCATGCTTGCAAGACGTGTGGCGGACGAGGGGCACGCGGCTGAGGCGGAGGTGTCTCCGAGACCCCCCCCCCGAGGGTGATCGCTGCGCAGAAGGTGGCCATCGCCGCGCTGAGGCGCCCGTAGGGGCGGGGTGGTGCCGCCCACGGGTGCGCGGAGGAGAAGGATGAGGAGCAGGAGGAGCTGGCTGGAAGAGGGGCAGGATGATGAGCACGAGGTTTCTGGATGCTTTTGGGCGTTCTCGTCCCTCCCTGGGCTTCCTGGAAATGTGCAGCGGCCCCGGGGGAGGCGGAGGAGAAGGAGAAGGAGGAGGGGGAGGAGGAGGAGGAGGAGGAGGAGGAGGAGGAGGAGGAGGAGGAGGGGGAGGAGGAGGAGGAGGAGCAGCAGGAGCAGCAGGAGCAGGAGGAGCAGGAGGAGGAGGAGGAGGAGGAGGGGGAGGAGGAGGAGTAGGAGGAGGAGGAGGAGGAGGAGGAGGAGGAGCAGGAGGGAGGAGGAGTCGTGGGAAGGGTATGAGGGAGGGAGGAATGGAGGGGAGTGAGAATGGTCAGTTGTTGTGCCGTCGCTGCGAAACGATACCCGCCTCCGCATCAAACGCGCTTTCGCAGGCATTGCTATTGAGGGCCCGAATGTGCAGCTCCGTGAGGAAGGTGTGGGTCCTAATGTTTCCAGCTAAGTGGTGCAGGGAATCTAAGCGCCCTGCGACCCTGACTTCGAATTTCCTGCTGTGGTGGCAGTTTGTACAGGACATGCAAGATTACTGTTGTAGCTGTCTTTGCCATCTCGCATGATCGTCAATGCAGCCTGATTGCTCCAATCGGCGTCAGAAGCAGACGTTGTAAGGATGACTGATTTGAGGGAAGGCACGCCGAGCGGCGGATGGTGCAGACTCGCACCTGAGCGAGCTCCGACCAGGATTCTCAAGCGAACCCTTCCGTGGCGACGGCCCCCCCCCCTCGTGAAATTGATCAGGGGCGAGCAACGTCTAAATGCCATGCCCGCGCCGGTGGAGTGGCATGGTGATGCCGATAAGGATAGTGAGGATGGTGATGCTGCTGATGATGCTGGTGATGAAGATGCTGTTGGTGATGGTGGTGCTGATGCTGATGAGGACGGTGATAATGCTGCTGCTGCTGATGATGATGATGGCTATGACGATGACGATGATGATGATGATGATGATCATGATGATGATGATGATTATGATGATGATGGTGACGAAACCAATGACGATGACGACGTCGACGAGGACGATGATGATGATGATGCCGATCATGGTGAGGAGGGGAGATACGATATTGATGGTGACGATGCTGCAGATGATGATGCTTGTTTGGACGACGGCGAGGCAGAACGACACATCTGCTGCTTGTGATTACGATGGTGATGATGGTAGTGCTGATGATGACGATGATGATGATTATGATGATGGTGAGATGGTGATTCTGATGATGGTGGCGGTCATTGCGATGATTATTGCTCAGACTGTATGAATGTTGGTAGTTCGAGCGGTACGACAGCGATGATCACGACAACGATGATCATGCTGATGATGCTGATGCTCATGCTGATGAGGACGATGCCATGCAGACGATGATGTTGCTGATGACGATGCTGATTGTTATGATGATGATGCTGATGGTGGTGATGGTGATATTGATGATGATGTTTGTGATGATGATGATGATGATGATGATCATGATGATGATGGTGATGCTGATGGTGCTTATGATGATTGTGATACTGTTGTTAGTGATGATGGGGGTGATGATGATGACGCTGATGATTATGGTCTTGTTGATTATGATGGTCATACTATTGATGTGCTGCTGCTGATGATGATGATGCTTGTGGTGGTGATGACAATGATGATGATGATGCTGGTTCTGAGGATGAGGATGATGCTGATGCTGATGATGATGATGATGGTGATGATTTGCTGGTGGTGTTGGTGGCGGTGATGGCGGTTGCAGATTGTATGACCGTCGGCGCTTCGAGCGATGCAGATTTCGGTTGTGGTGGCGGTGGCGATGGTGACGACGATCACGACAATGTTGTTTATGCCGATGACAATGATGGTGATGCTGAAACTGGTGAGGATGGTGATGACGATGATGATGCTGATGATGATGATGATGCTGAGGATCTCGAGGATGATGGCGACTCTGATGGTGGTGCTACTTCTGCTATTGATGATGGTGACGCTGCTGGCGTACATAACGATGTCTATGCCGGTGGCGAGGCTGATGACGATGCTGCCCATGCTGCTGCTGAGACTGATGATGATGGTGATTGTGGTGGTGGTGTTGCTGCTGATGATGATGCTGATGAGGAGAATGGTGAGTGCGGAGGATGGTACTGTGTGATGATACTGGGTGATCGCGGATGATGGATTGTGGGTGATGATGATTTGCGATGAAGGACGGTGTTGTCGGTGATAATGGTGATGGTATGTGTGATGTTGATGATCATGATGATGACGACGATGTGAAGAACGACGGTGATGATGATATTTTTGTGGCGGTGATGATGGTGATGCTGGTCATGCTGATGATGTTTGTGATGTTGATGATGCTGGTGCTGCTGATTATGACGACCACAACTGCAACGACACCGACGACGATGATGATGTTTGTGATGCTGGTGATGATGTGAATGGTAGCGATGATGGTGTTTCTGTCGATGATGGTGATGGTGATGATGGTGGTGGTGTTGTTGATGATGGTGATGGTGGTGATGGTGATGCCGATGCTGATCTTCTTGATTCTGATGAGGGTGATGATGCTGATACTGATGATGATGCTGATGACGATGACGATGATGATTTACACGAGGAGGAGGAGGAGGAGTAGGAGGAATAGGACAGTGTAAATTCAAGACTCATCAACGATGTTGGAAAACACCCTCCCTCCAAGTTCCCTCTTCACGTGCCCCTACGGGGGTTCATTTCCACAGAGGGAACTGACTCGTTGGGAGACAACCGTTTGAAGTTTGGAATCGTGCCAGCACACCATTCCTGGGACTCCAACGCCACGAATCAGCATTTCTGTTGCGTCTTGACGATCCGGAACCGTGCTAGAACTCCGTTCCCGAGACTTTAACACCGCGAACCAACGCAACTGTTACGCCCTCACAACCCAGAGCCCGTCTAAAACAACACTTCGGGTACGTTGAGCATGGGAATCCGTGAAACTCTTGCGAATGTTTAAGATGAGTGTGGGCTCGCTACAGGCGAGAGCCACATTTTGAAAAAGTAGCCGCCCTCAATCCGTAAAGTTCTTGCGATTATGTAGAGGGAATCTGCGCTGCGGTAAGGCGAGAAAACAAATTTTGAGAACCTTCCGAACTCAATCACTGAAAGAACTGCCTCGTTGGAAGACAACCGTTTGAAGACCCTGAAGCATGCAGAAAAATTACTCTCGGGACTCCAATGCCACAGATCAACCTGACTGTTGCGTCTTGGCGATCCGAAATCGTGCTCGAACGCCGTTGCTGGGACTAACACCGCGAATCAACGTAACTGTGGCGCCCTCGTAATCTTGAGTCTTTCCAAAGCGCCATTTCTGGTACGCTGATCATGGGAATCCGTGATGCTCTTGCAAACTTGTAGATCGAATGTGCGCGGCGCGACGGCGAACACCGCATTTTGAAAACGACCCGCCCTCAAACCGTGAAACGTTTTGGGTTTTGAACACGAATGTCCACGGCGATAAGGCGAGAGCCACACTTTTAAAAGGACCACCCCTCAATATGTGAAACTCCTGCAAGAGTGTAAAACGAATGTATGCGGCGCGGAGGCGAGAGCCACATTTTGAAAGCCATCCGCGCTCGATCCGTGGAACTCTTGCAATTTTTAGATTGCGCGGCGCTGAGGCGACAGCAACATTTTGCAAACGACCCGCCCTCAATCAGTGAAGCTCTTGCGATTTTTAACACGAATGTGCGCGACGCTAAGGCGAGAACCTTTGTTTCGAAAGCGACCCGCCTTCAATCCGTACAAGTTTTGCGACGTTGAAAACGAATGTCCACAGCGATAAGGCGAGAGCCAGATTGCGAAGGCCTTACGGCCGGTGCCGCCGACCCTGTGCGCTTGGAGGGGGGGAGGAGAAACAAATGAGGAGGAGGAGGAGGAGGAGGAGGGGGAGCAGAAGGAGGAGTAGGAAGAGGAGGAGGAGGAGGTGGAAGAGGAGGAGGGGGAGGAGGAGGAGGAGCGACGACGACGACAGCGACGACCACGACGACGAGTACAACTGCGGCGTCGGCGAGGGAAAAGGAGGAGGAAAAGGAGGAGGCTGAGAGGCGCGCGAAGAGAGGAGATCGGTTCTGGGCGGCCCTCCCAGGAACGGGTCGGCCTTGGCCGGCCATCCCAGGAGGGGCTTTCGGCATATAGTTTCGGCAGATAGTTTGGTCGAAGAAGTCGTCAGCATATTCCGAGGATGGGTTTCAAATCGGATCCAATATGGAATTGAAGCAATATCAAAAGAGCCGATGGTTTGTAGTTTTCCGTGTTTGGGACCGAAGCTGACAATATACATATATATATATATATATATATATATATTTGTTGGATCCCAACATGCATCTCGCAATTTACGAGAAATTGGTTGCGTCTGCGGCGTCTGGGTGGGGGGCCAGCGCGCGGGATCTCCCCGTGTAGCCAGTAGAGTTCCGGATTCCTTGGGGTCCCCTGCCACCCCTCCTGGTTCCCCGTGTCATTCCATGCCTCCCTGGGTCATTTCTGGGGGGTCAATCAGGGGTCTTCGGCGAAACGCCACAAGACTACACGACGCGAGATAGAAGCGAATCCAATGAGAACCTTAAAATTGATGCCATTTGGCCCAGAGCATTTTTAGATGTTTCCGTTTGTCCGAGACTCTCATCCACTACCTCGCGTTTTTGTGACCGCCATGCAGCCCTGGGCGAAGAAACGGCCAGCCGCTGCGTCGCATGGACCAGATGAGGTGGACCAGAAGCGGGCGGCTCTATGTAAGCTTGCGGTTGGCAGCCATAAATTTGGAAAGCTTGGTAGCGCAGCGTCATTGGACTTGGATGACACCGATGATGAAGCCGAGGCCAATGCTGCTT